CACACACACACACACACACACACACACACACACACACGGGCACTATAATAATTGATTTAATAAAAATGATGTTAACCAGCGGAGAGGAACATCCGTGAACCTGATTCTGGGTCGTTGTCTGGCTTTGCCTTCACGGCAAGTTTATCGGAACCCTTTGGGGACTCAGCCAGCCAGGGCAGGGCTGTTACCTAGAAACATGGGCTCACAATGGTTGGAACCCGGGCTGGACATGGGCTCGGCTGGGTGACGGCCATCAGTCAGGAATGAGGTTTCTATTCACTGGGTTACTTCTCTTCTCACTTGTCCTGCTGGTGGTCACGAGCAGGTCCTAACAGAAGATATCTGTGGGAAAAAAAGGAGCGTCCTCAGATAACCCGGCGTGGAAGGGAAGAGATCGGAGCTTCATCCACACTTGACTCATGAGATCCAAGTACAAATCAGCTTTGTGCCAGGCTCACCCAGCCATTTTTAGTTCAAAATGTTCGTGACATATGTGTCCCTTGAGTCACACTGCTCCAATCTGGTTTCCTCCAGTTCAGGGACTCTTTTGTCATCTTGAAAGAGCAGTCAGGCTCCTGCTGTGCTCTGTGAGGGTAACGGGGGCCACCTCCCAGCAGTCTAGAATATAAAAAGGGACCTAGGGCTGACTTCCTACCAGCCCTATTGAGCTGTCAGCCATTCTGCGTCAGTTCAGCCCCTGCTCGCCTCCCTTCCCCTTCATCCTCAAGGCCCCCAGTTCTGAGCAGTGTTTGGTATATCTCTAGCTGGTGAGTGATGGCTAACATTGGCGATCAGCTTCCCAGGATCTGGGATCCCCTGAGTTATGTCTGTAAGGGAACGTCTAGATTGGGGTAACTGAGATGGAAAAATCCGCTCTAAATAAGGGTGGCACTATTCCAGGGGCTGAAGCCTCAGATCAAATAAGGAGAAAGTGAACGGAGCACAGGCATTTCGTTTCTTCCTGTCTACGGATGCCACGTGACTTACTGCCTCAAGCTCTTTCTGCTGCCGTGACCTCCCCTCTCCCTCACCACCTCAGCCCCTCCCCCCCACACCCCCATGATGGGCTGGCTATCCCTTCAAACTGTGAGCCAAAGCAAACCTTCCCCTCCTTAATTCCAGCAGACGCCCCCCTCTGTTGACATTGCTTTTGTTGAGTATTTTGTTATACCAACAGGGAGAGTAAGACAGTGTGCACCTCCCCCGAGCATCTAGGTAGAACTCGGCTTTCCTGGTTTTATTTATTCAACCCTCCTCCACACACACACATACACATCAGCTTCCAAAATGCTGTTTTCATGGATTCCTGTTAGTGTTTGAGAAAAAAAAAAACAAACTAAGACTGGATGGTCAAAGAAACCATCCTAGGAAGAGCCTGAATTTTATTTATTTTTCTCCTGTGTAGCTCAAGTGGGAAAATTTGAAGGACTGAAGTTATATTTATGTACTCAAACCATCATTTTTACTTCAGGTTTATGTGACAATAAAGTCGTGTTTAATTCCTTATATCCCTCATGTTTAATTCCTTATATCCCTCATGTTGAATTCCTTTTATCCCTTTGTATGGTAAACATCACATGGTTGGTGAAAAAGCTGAGAAACTGCTCTGTAAGGCATCATTTTGCCTCTCATTAATTTTCTACTATGGTTAAACATGGCAGAATTATATTTTGGAAGCATTAAGTGGATCCCATCTGTTAGTATTCTGACCAGCTCCTTGAGGACCCGTCCAGCGTTCTGACATCATCTTACGTTAAAGCCCCCTTAAGAGGAAAAAATTTCCTCCCCTTCTCCCTCTCTCTTCCCCCTTGCCAGAGGTAGCCCACCTCTCTCTCTCTCTCTCTCTCTTTCTTCTTCTTCTTCTTCTTCTTCTTCTTCTTCTTCTTCTTCTTCTTCTTCTTCTTCTTCTTCTTCTTCTTCTTC